GTATGTGGTCATTCCTGGCTCACAGGAACACTTTGTTGATATGGAAAAAGGTGACACAAAATAATGTGGGGAAAGCAGTTGGCTGCCCTCACCTCAGTCAGAAAATCTATCCATAAAACTAGGATTTCAAGATTCAAGTGAAGCCTACCCACAATCGAAACAGTGAGGAAATCAAAATATCCCCTCTTCTTGAATGAGTCAGCCTAAGAAAGCACAGAAGCACCTGCTGAATTTTAAAGATATGCAAAGAAATCAATACTAATCATCGGCTTCAAGGTGCTTCTGCCTTTTTTTGGTTTTGCTGAGAGCCAAGGGTGTCAGTTTTTGTATTGAAGCTGTCCGAAATACCTATAAAAAGGTAAATGAGAGATCTTCTCACATTAGCCAAAATTTTATAGTCTGCTGCACTGACATCTTCTTCTACAATATCTTCTACATGTACACAAAACAGGCTAAATGTCTACAGTAGCCCCCAAAAGTGACTACAATTTTGTCCTCTCATTATCACAGTTTTAGCTAAGGATACTTCAGGCTACGTTCAAAAGCTATTTTTGAACAATTGCTTTCCTCATTTCGGAACAGGTTTCTGGACATTTGCGCAGTTCAACAAGGCCCTGCAGCATGTCTGATGGCAGACTTCACGCAGTACGGCAACCCATTTGCACAGGTTCCCAGCCGTAAAAGGCAAACACGATAGATGCCACCAGCACGTGACTGCTGCACAGAAATGCTTGTGTGTCATCATCCACCGTTCCATTTTTACGTTACCGTTCAAAACACATTTAGAATTTGATTATAAACACCTAACGACATTAGGAGCTTGGGTTAATTTGTCAGTACTAGCTGTGCTCAAAGAAAATTCTGAGCCTGATGGGAAATTAAGTTACAAATAGTCACATACAGTGGGTGAAACACAATTCAGTACTGTAAGCGTTAGAAGTTTCTATAAAGATGCTGCAATGTCAGCTTCTGGTAAACCCTGACTCCCAGCCTCAAGGGTAAGAAAAATATAGTTTCTCATCAGCTAGTAGTTAAGCACGTTCCCAATCTTGAGATCCAACCTCACAAGCGTTCAGTAAACATATACTTAAGAACCTTTGATACTGAGGCTGTATATCAGCTTCGTGACCCCAAGAGAAACTTTCTTTTTCCCAAATGCAACAAAGAATATTAGAACAATTGAAAATATAAGAAATGAGGGCAAGTCCTCTGAATAACAGTACTGAAAATAAATACAAGCCTTTTTCCTGAGTACAATAAAACCCACTTAAGACCAAACATCAGACCTGCCGATTTTTTCCAACTGTTTTGTTTGCTTGTGAAGTTTATGGACAACCAAAAAACCCCTAGCAACTTTAAAATATAAGGTTATCACACTGTTATTCCATATCAAGGTGTTAGAGCTTGACAGGTTCTGAACTTGCTCTTTTTTGAGCCAATTTAGTATGCTTTGTCCAGAGATTTCCACATTTCCTTCATTCCTGAAAGCTGACTTGACCTACTACAGACTTAGGTTTCTATATAATGAGACAAAAGCAAATTCTGGTATCACTAGTAATTTCAGTGATCAGAGATGGAAAAAAAACATTATAAAGAGAGATGATTATGACTGCATTAAAAACCCAGCAAACTCTGTAGTGATGGTGCAAGACATCAGCATCTGACCAAAAAAAAAAAAAAAAAAAGCATTTAGGGTGATTACAAAACAGTCACCAAAAGGTTACACAATATATTAATCAGTTTTCTCATGGATAAAGTGCATTTACCTAGCCTGAGAATAAGTACCACATCGATAAAGGGATGCTAAAGCACTTGCCCAAGAGAGATTAGAAGAAAATCAGAGTTATCCTGAATCCTATATCCAGTTCAACTCTGTGATTCTTGAAGACACTTTGGGAAAGACCCTCGTGCTGGTCCAGTTGAGGTACTCTATTCCAACTGAGTACATCGGTAGTATGGTCTGGCTGGTCAGCAAATCATCTCGTAGTGCTATCTGAAAACGCCCACATTGATAGAAAGAGCCACTTCTGGTTTACGGTGCTTGATATTCAGCTTCTCCTCAGAGAAAACATGGTCCTGTAAGCGTTCAGCTTGCCGACTGTTACAAAAAAAAAAAAAAAAAATTAAGATGCCTAGAATTAGTGTTGAGCCTTAGCACCAAAAGCAGCATGAACCTGGACTGGAACCCAATTTCCACTTAGCTCTAAGGATGACATTGCAAGCTCACACTTACAACCCGTGCAGGGCCAGTGAAGCCAAGGAGATCATTTTTCATCTCCAGAAGCTGTAACAGATGCTGCAGTGTGTCGCAAGAGGAAAAAAAAAAAAAAAAAAATCTGAGGCTCAGTGTAAGAACATGGCACTTAAAGCCAGGAGTTTGAATTACCTGAGCACTTCCTTCAGGACTACTGGAATTGTGTGCTCTAAGAGCATGCAGCTTGCACTGTCCTAAAAAATTATCCCAGAAGCAGCAAAGAACAGTTTGCGTATTTTAAAGAAAAATAAATACAAATACTCCTACCTTTTCTTTTTTTCAAATGCAAGCTGCCTTTGTCTCTCTTTTCCAACGTCATCTCTAACTGTGCTGAAGTCCTTAGTGTCATCAAGGAGCAGATTCTGTTGTGAGAAAGGATTTGGTAGACAAAAATTATAAACTCAAACTATTTCCCACATGTTGCTCAGTTTACATAATTAATCTTCAGAGCATTTCCCCTAACTAGTTTTACAGCAAGTAACTTCAAGTTAACTAAGTAGCAAAGATTCCAAAAGGCAAAAAGATTTTTTAGACTCCTCTGATTAGTTTTTGTACTTAACAATGAATCTGCCTTATTCAGAGATTTCTCTCCACAGTCTTAAGCATCAGGATAGGACACCAGACTTTTCATGTACTGCTTTAAAACCATACAGCGAGTATGTTCTTTCAGAGGTCTCCTAAATAAGCCTTATTGCTAATTCAGAGCTCAATATGCTGCTCTCTAATTCTTTTTTAAATAATGAAATAGATCTGTAATAATTCTTTGGAAAAGGAAATAGGTTTGAATTTACAATATGATTTGTAAAGGACAATGCTCTTGGATTTTACTCCAAGTTGGAAAAAACAGTCAATAAAATGAGGGCAAGAAAAAAATCCAGTTTCTTCTGGACAGTGTTCAAGTGTGGAGCAGGAACTGACTGCTTGCACTGGCTGAGAGCTGCACAAAAGCCTCTAAGGTATTGCCCTCTAGTGCCAGTACCAAGATAGAAGGGTAAAAGCATGAAACTTTCTTCCTTTTCTCCTGTTCTTTAATCAACCTGAGGAAAAGCACCAGTAGCAACAAATTTCCTATCCACACAACGTACTGTCCAGTACTTTCATAGAGATGTAGCAGGATGCAGGAGAACCAAGAAGAAATTAAGATACTGCAACGGGGACAGTGCCCGAACCTAATCCTTGTGCAACAATTAAAGCCAAGTTAATTTACCTTCACCCCAATAATATCTCCATCTTTCAGGTGATAAGGCGCTGACTGTAAACTCTCCTGTTTTTTCTTTCGTTTCCTCTTCGAAATTTGCTGTGTCTGAATAAAATCAAAGGAGAAGATTCGTACATAGCAGATTTCGGAAATCTGCTTAAATACGTATGCTCAAGAACTGCAGCGCAAACCGACACATGCTTCTCTCAAAGAACTGTTGGATTTTGTCATACCAGATCTTACCCAGCTAGATATTGGCAGCCACTCAAATTTTTCAGGGAAGTATTTGGCTATTTCAATTTTATCTACAGGGAGACAATAGTGAGAGGCCACTCGTTGCCTCAGTGCCCAGGTTGTGCATTCTTTGGAGATATCCCACACCAAATCCGTGGAGTCATAGTAGTCCCTCTCCCCTGGTATGCCCATCTGGACTCGAAGCAGGAGTTCATGGGGGCTGTTATCAGAAAGAGGAAATAGACCGTTCTTGTGAGTCATCCTTTCAGAATCCAGAATTCCTAGTTTTCGCTCCCTCCTGCCCTCCCTTATTTTTGTTTGTGGAAAACAAAAAATAAGCTCCAAAGCATTCTCACATACTGACATCTGTAATCCTGACATATGGTATTTTAAGTTAAAAGCTGCTCATTTAAGTCTCTTCTCAAATGCATTGCTGTAAGAAGTAAGTATCTTGAGATCTTACCCCAAATGCTCTTCTTTTTGCAAAGGTTCAATGCAAATTTCTACTCTGGCACCCAGCTTATAGTCACTGAAAACAAAACAAAGATAATACACATTTCCAGGCATATATTCCAAGTTCCTGAGGAGCAAAATTACAGTTCAGGTCAAGTAGACCTGTGCTTATCTGGAAAACCAAAGCAAGAGGCTATTGGAACAAAAATGAAAAACTCAGAAAAGTAAAAAAATTGCATATAAAAACACCTGAAATAAGGCTTTGCAGAATAAGCATGGTATGATCTACTTATGCTCACACACACCCCCTTCCACAGCTCTGGAGTGAAAAAACATGCTCGGCAAAAATTTGAAGTAACCAGAAATGGAAATGAGCTTTCTGTTGATGTTTGACTAAGATGATTTATTTCTCCACCAATCCATCCCACAACCCAGTCAACAGGCAGTCTGTTGCAATGCTGCTTGCACGTTCAGTAAGAAACCTACTTGAGTTGCTGCTTGTTGTTTCGTAAAAGCTTGCCCGGACGCTTACTGTCCACTGTCCATGCTCTGAGAAATGAGGGCAGTGGGACAATCTGCTCCTGGCAGCACGGTAAGGTCATAGCCTGAAAAAAGAAACATTGCTTCAATAATTTTAGCAGCCAGACTCCTTGGAAAAGAAGAAAATCCCTTGATTAATTCTCATTGCAATACAGAAGCAATCACAAATAGGGCAAGGTATTTGGATTTATTCCACACCAGCTGCTGCTTGTGACTTACAGGTAGTGGCTATGATCAACATATTTGCTTTTCAACCTCAAAGCCACTTGAACTTCACTCCCTCCCAACATTTCTTGACTTAATTTACATTTCAAAAGTACTGAATTTCTTTTTTTAACCAAAAATTGCATAACTGGGAGGGAATGAGGCTGACAGAATTATTACCCCCATCTCTAGCCAAGTGCTGAGCAAGCTCCTTTCATCCCTTATCAAGGGCACAATACCCCTTCCATGCTAAGACAATTCTCCTTGTTCACAAGATGCAAACGGTCAGTTTTTCATAGCAGTAGTTTGCCAGAGACTGAAACTAAAGTCGTACCCAAAAAAGTAAATGTTGGTATGGATCAGAATCAGATGAGATATCCTTCCCCAAGCAGTTTAAATAGAACAACCAACTGGCTAAATAATAAAGAACCTAGTGATAGGATTGGTTTATGTCTCTTTCTGGTTTTGGGGGTTGGTTTTGGGTTTTTTTCTGGTTGGGCTTTTGGCTTTTGGGGTTTGGTTTTAGTTTTTTTAGTGTATTAAAATCATACTTTTATGGTTAAAAAAAGCATTAAAAGGCAACTTAGTTTCTGGACAAAGAAACTAAGCTGTACCTTCCTGAATGACAAACATGACCTTCTGTGCATCAAAAGCAATTCTTTATTCATTGGATTCAACATACAAAAAAAAAAAAAAAAAAAAAAAAAAAAAAAAAAAAACAAAAAAAAAAAACCAACAATGCAGAAAACTAATACAGGAACAATGTGGAAATGGAAAGTGGCTTTTCAGGAAGTGCTTGCATGTGTGCGCTTCTTATGAAGAATTTTTACATCGTGAAATAAAGATAGGGCTGCAAGCCAAAGTTCCAGATGAAGTGCAACAAGGCTTTTGCAGGTCAGGACACATGACAGGTAGAATGGCAACTGCAGGGGACATACTAAGGAAGTCTCTGAGCTACATGCTCCAACTGCCTCTTGGTACTTACCACTGAACATGGCATATAAGCAAATGCCATATCAGAACATACTGGAGACAAGGGAAAAGGAAATAAAAAATAGGTGTTAATAGAGCTCAATTAATCACAGTGCTGCTGTATATTTCCAATACAGGAGAACATCTAACCTGCATCTTCAGATCTTCCAAAGAAGCTTCTCCTGCTATTTCTATACTGCCAGCATAACAAAGATCCATGTCTGTGTGGATGTATTCTGGTGAATCTTTAGATGGGGGAGAGTGGGGAGAAAGAAAGAAACAACAGAAGAGTCAACATGACCTTATCATCCTAAGAGATAACAGTCACTTCACGGTGAGATTTCACTTAAGAGAAGGGAGCTGACATCAATTTATTTTGGAGGGCAGTTAAAAAACCGTAACATCCAGTTGATAAAATACATTCTATCAGTTGCCAAACTGGAAGAGTTCAAACTGATCCTATACTGCAATCTTTAAAACTAAGACTATTTACCAATGTGAATAACTGGTATTAATTATTGGTTGTGACTCTGAGATATGGAGTGTCTTGCAAGGAAAGTTAAATCTGCTTTTACCTATGCTACTAAAATCATCAGGGGAGAAAGTAAAACTCAGAAAAAGTTTAAGAGAAAAGAAGAAAAAATGCAAATAAACCTAGAAGGAGAGGAACCCTGGTCTGCAACACAACTCAGTAGCAAAGGAAGAATATTATTTGTCCTACAGCAAGGAAAATCGTTTTGTTTCCCATTTTCCAATTCACAGTTGTCCCCACTTCACTTTCTTCTTCCTTCTTGACCCTCATTTGATTTTCCTGCCCTAACTGGTTTTTGATTTTGATCCAACCTTTAGAAGAACAAACGCAGGTTAAAAATACTGTACATAATGTCTTTTAGACTATGCAAGATTTACTCATCTCTCCTTTCACAGCTTCTCAAAAAGCAACATAGCCTGAAGTGAATTAAATGTGATATTAGGAGTCTGGCATTTGAAGCCAATCACCTGTACGCTCACTGAGCAGATGCTTTACAATACTGCCACTGCCTTTAGGTATGGAGAAGCCATTTTATGCACTGTCAAGTAAAGAGCCCTTGCTTCAAAATTCACTGGAGGTCTTACCCTTGACTAAATACAGCTAAGGAATGTCGGAACAGTACCATCCAGCATTTGTGGCCTTGTAAAAAAATTCGTCTGTCTCCTAAGTGGCTCCTTTCACCATAAACTTGCTGAAACTTGTAAAGTCACTCATAGGTTTCAGAAGGATTCTAAGGCTCTGGATTAAAATTCTGGTTTTGACTCAAAGCCCCCAGTGCAAGCACAGACAATCAGGCCATATGATTCCTTTCAAAAACTGATCAGGTTCACCTCCTGCAGGAGACACCTGCAAAGCACCCATCTTGCAGGTCATCCCATTCACTTGGTCTTGTGCATTCCCTCCATGTTTCATATGACTTGAAGACGTGAACCACCAGATGGGTATTTTCAGAAAACCCTGCAAAGAGAATACAAAGTACCAGGTAGCTCATGTGTTCCAATGTAGACAATGAACAGTTTCACCTGCATCTCAGAAAGAACTAAAAAGACTGGTTCAAATCTGAGCTTTTGTAAAGGCATTGGCATCCATCTAACATCACACATCATCAACTCTTCCTACTTTTACAGGGACTAGAGGTTCACGTAATCCGTACAGGGGGTAAAGATTGGATGCTTCAAGAGCAACATTGTGAAGAACTCCAACATTTCCTGGATAAACTGGGAATCTTGTAACACCATGTCTCTGCAGAAAAGCTTTGGCATGAGAATCACGAAAGCACAATCTATGTGAAAATACAAGTTCAAAGAGGAGGGGTTGATGGAAATGGAGACAGGCATACCACAGCTGTCAAAGTAGATTAGGACAGCAGCTAGTCCTATATCACGCCTACAGGAATAATCAGAATCTGTGGTCTACCATAACTCCCCCTACAACCATCTCTAGAACATACCTCTCGGCAACGTACAACAGTTCAAGTTTGTCCTAGGACCTGCCTGATGTTATTTTTGAAGATATTCACTTGCAAAAATCCCTCCAACAGGCTCCTTGCGTCACACCGGTACCTTAACCTCAAGGATGCCAGGCTCTCTCCTCCCTTTCCCTCGGGGCTCAGCACAGAAGAGATGCAGCCATCCTGCAGGCTCACCCATTCCACCTCCCAGCAATCAGCAATTGTTTTGTTGATTGCTGCGGGTAGCCTGAGCCCTTCTCTTCCATTCCCCTACCTCTGCCCCCACCACCCCTGAAAGTGTGCCATCTCCTCTGCTCTGAGCCCCCAGAAAAGGGGACCAGGCAATGTGGCATCCACCAGGCTGCTCTCAACACAAGTCCTCCCGCAGCAGGCCACCAAGGTCCCTGGGGCCTGGAGGTGGGGTTCCTACAGTCTGAGGATGAGGGTGGCTGAAGACGAAGCCAGGCACTCCACAGGCGTGCACAAAGAACAGCAACAGATCAAGCAAAGAAGTTGGGGAGACAGCTGTTCCTCTGGAGAAGCAGAAGACCACAGGTCTACCAGGAAGAAATGCTGGCCTTCAGCACTAAGGTCCCTTCTAGCTGCTTCATTAGGAGTTCTTTTCAAGATTGTTTATTACCTGATTTAAAAAAAATCCAGTAAAACAAGAAAAAGAACAGTAAAGATGCTTTTCACCTCTCTTATTTGGTACTCGGGCAACTGCACCTGGACTGCTCTATCTCCTCCTGGTGTCCCCAGTCCAGGACAGACAGTGATGGGTGGGGTGTGGGCCCAGCCCAGGGCCCTGGAGATGGTGAGGGGCCAGGGCATGTGGCACATGAAGGCAGGCTGAGGGAACTGCCTCTGGTCATGAGGGTGGTGAGACCCTGGAGCAGGTTACCCAGAGAAGCTGTGGATGCCCCATCCCTGCAAGTCTTCACGGTCAGGTTGGACCGGGCTTTCAGCAACCTGGTCTAGTGAAAGATCAGAACTAGGCGATCTTTAAAGGTCTCTTGCAACCCAAACCATCCTATGATATTGCCTGAGGTTTGTTAGCAAAGAATCCTTCCATTTGGATGGAAGACTGACAAGAGGATCACCCAGAAGGGCCCTCCATTTTCAAACACCATCCCCAGTACAAACAGGAACTGAAGCTGACCAGAATTTTTCCAAGTATTTGTAAAACAAGCAAGAGGAAGAAAAAGAAACTCATATAAAAGACTCTCATATTCAAATCTCCAGACACTGGCAAGTGACTGAAGAACATAACTTCAATTGTTTTACCTTTGCTGGAAGCTTTCCTTCAGTGATAACCAAAGTATCTCCTCTGCAAACATTAAGTTCCTTCAGAGTGGCATTCTGTAGGAAAAGAAAGCACAGTACGCTTGTAAGTCTACGTGTTCTTGTGCTTTGTTCCCTAAAGTATATGTTGGGATTTTTTTTTTTTTAAGCCATGCATGCTAAAGGTCTGAGGTGTTTTGCTTTTCCACCAAAGAGCGCAGTAATATCCATTTAACACCCACCGCCTGGAGACAACTTTGCAGCAGCACACAAGTATTGCACCTACATGAGTCTGCTCTGCAGGAGTCCTTCCAGAGCATCCTGCTGAGCTGTGGATTTCCTTTGCACCTCAGCAGCTGACCAACTGACACCCCGTGCTTCTTTGTAGATGTCTATCTTTAATGCATGGTACGCCTAGACTTTAGAAAAAACTATATGGGTAGGGCTTAATCCTGGTCCCTGAAAATGAGAGGCAGGTGCACAAGATTTACATTTTATCCATAGGGATCCCAACAGTGCCTTCATAAGGCCCTGTGAAAACAAAACTGTGTGTGCACTAATGTAGTGCACACAAACACACCACACGTTTGCTTTAATGGTGTTCTCTTCAGGGAAAGTCTCTAAAGAAAAATGGAGTAAATAAACCACAGCATGATTCAAGTCAAAAATAGGATCCTCTTACTTCCTGACTTAATGCTTCCCCAGCTTCATAGCACCAGTCAATCCTTCTCAAATGCCAGTTGTCACCTACCAAGAGACAAAAACATACATGTGGAAAACTAATGAGCCAACAGCGCTGTTTTGGAAAAACATTACAAAGCTCTTAATAAGTGTTAAGGGGTTCTTTTGCTTGTTTTTTGCTTGTTTGTTTTTCAAACACAATTCTGACAAACTGAATGAAGTACCACCTTCATGTCCTTCCCCAGGCCCCACAAACACTTTGCTGTTTGGAAATGGGTCTTCTCTTACTTGTCTAAATGTCTCTTCCTCACCTACCCACCTACCTAATTTCCCTGGTTTAAGAGGAAAGCACAGGAACTGGGTTGACAACACTTAACCAAAAAAAAAAAAAAAAAAAACAAAACCAACAAATCAACACTGCAGAGGAAAGAAAATTAAAATGTTGAGTGGGGAAGAAAAATCTGGAAACACTGGATATGAACTGATGATGAAATTCCCATGTCAATATGTCACTGAATCAATGACAGGCTCCTTAAAATACTATACAATAAGGAAAAATCCGACTTCCCCTCCCCAACTGTTTAACTGAGCCCTTCTCTTCCATTCCCCTACCCCTGCCCCCACCACCCCTGAAAGTGTGCCATCTCCTCTGCTCTGAGCCCCCAGAAAAGGGGACCAGGCAATGTGGCATCCACCAGGCTGCTCTGCCCCAGCAACACAAGTCCTCCCTCAGCAGGCCACCAAGGTCCCTGGGGCCTGGAGGTGGGGTTCCTACAGTCTGAGGATGAGGGTGGCTGAAGACGAAGCCAGGCACTCCACAGGCGTGCACAAAGAACAGCAACAGATCAAGCAAAGAAGTTGGGGAGACAGCTGTTCCTCTGGAGAAGCAGAAGACCACAGGTCTACCAGGAAGAAATGCTGGCCTTCAGCACTAAGGTCCCTTCTAGCTGCTTCATTAGGAGTTCTTTTCAAGATTGTTTATTACCTGATTTAAAAAAAATCCAGTAAAACAAGAAAAAGAACAGTAAAGATGCTTTTCACCTCTCTTATTTGGTACTCGGGCAACTGCACCTGGACTGCTCTATCTCCTCCTGGTGTCCCCAGTCCAGGACAGACAGTGATGGGTGGGGTGTGGGCCCAGCCCAGGGCCCTGGAGATGGTGAGGGGCCAGGGCATGTGGCACATGAAGGCAGGCTGAGGGAACTGCCTCTGGTCATGAGGGTGGTGAGACCCTGGAGCAGGTTACCCAGAGAAGCTGTGGATGCCCCATCCCTGCAAGTCTTCACGGTCAGGTTGGACCGGGCTTTCAGCAACCTGGTCTAGTGAAAGATCAGAACTAGGCGATCTTTAAAGGTCTCTTGCAACCCAAACCATCCTATGATATTGCCTGAGGTTTGTTAGCAAAGAATCCTTCCATTTGGATGGAAGACTGACAAGAGGATCACCCAGAAGGGCCCTCCATTTTCAAACACCATCCCCAGTACAAACAGGAACTGAAGCTGACCAGAATTTTTCCAAGTATTTGTAAAACAAGCAAGAGGAAGAAAAAGAAACTCATATAAAAGACTCTCATATTCAAATCTCCAGACACTGGCAAGTGACTGAAGAACATAACTTCAATTGTTTTACCTTTGCTGGAAGCTTTCCTTCAGTGATAACCAAAGTATCTCCTCTGCAAACATTAAGTTCCTTCAGAGTGGCATTCTGTAGGAAAAGAAAGCACAGTACGCTTGTAAGTCTACGTGTTCTTGTGCTTTGTTCCCTAAAGTATATGTTGGGATTTTTTTTTTTTTAAGCCATGCATGCTAAAGGTCTGAGGTGTTTTGCTTTTCCACCAAAGAGCGCAGTAATATCCATTTAACACCCACCGCCTGGAGACAACTTTGCAGCAGCACACAAGTATTGCACCTACATGAGTCTGCTCTGCAGGAGTCCTTCCAGAGCATCCTGCTGAGCTGTGGATTTCCTTTGCACCTCAGCAGCTGACCAACTGACACCCCATGCTTCTTTGTAGATGTCTATCTTTAATGCATGGTACGCCTAGACTTTAGAAAAAACTATATGGGTAGGGCTTAATCCTGGTCCCTGAAAATGAGAGGCAGGTGCACAAGATTTACATTTTATCCATAGGTATCCCAACAGTGCCTTCATAAGGCCCTGTGAAAACAAAACTGTGTGTGCACTAATGTAGCGCACACAAACACACCACACGTTTGCTTTAATGGTGTTCTCTTCAGGGAAAGTCTCTAAAGAAAAATGGAGTAAATAAACCACAGCATGATTCAAGTCAAAAATAGGATCCTCTTACTTCCTGACTTAATGCTTCCCCAGCTTCATAGCACCAGTCAATCCTTCTCAAATGCCAGTTGTCACCTACCAAGAGACAAAAACATACATGTGGAAAACTAATGAGCCAACAGCGCTGTTTTGGAAAAACATTACAAAGCTCTTAATAAGTGTTAAGGGGTTCTTTTGCTTGTTTTTTGCTTGTTTGTTTTTCAAACACAATTCTGACAAACTGAATGAAGTACCACCTTCATGTCCTTCCCCAGGCCCCACAAACACTTTGCTGTTTGGAAATGGGTCTTCTCTTACTTGTCTAAATGTCTCTTCCTCACCTACCCACCTACCTAATTTCCCTGGTTTAAGAGGAAAGCACAGGAACTGGGTTGACAACACTTAACCAAAAAAAAAAAAAAAAAAAACAAAACCAACAAATCAACACTGCAGAGGAAAGAAAATTAAAATGTTGAGTGGGGAAGAAAAATCTGGAAACACTGGATATGAACTGATGAAAAAACATGTAGTCCAGGAACTACAATACTTTAGATTTAGCACCTATATAGAAAGCACAGTAGACACAGAAGGAACAAATACAAGCGAACTTTTTAATTTAACAAAAATAACTGATGAAAATGCCATTTGTTCTTTGCAAGGTATAAAATCTTATTTTCATAACTAAAAAAACCCGAACCCTGAAGGAACCTCATCAATAAATTCTGTGGAGAAAAAAAAATAGCTTGCAGTCTTTTTAAACAACAATAAAAATCCACTGAAGTTTGACACCTCTTGAAATGAGAGCAGACAGATCACAATTCTCTACACAAGGCCAAATTCAATTTTTCAAAAATGGTAATATAAAATAAAGCAATAATAACAGAACCATTGTTTCTTGGCAGTAAATCTATACTATAGGGAAATGAAAAAGGTTAAGTTTATATTTTCAAGACATTATTAACTACTTCAACTCAATACGTACATGTACACAAGAGCACAATATTTAATTTTCATTTGGGCTACTCAATGTATATTCTGACAATAATGTGTTTCAGGTGAACTTTTACAGTTTCTGGAGCATGGCTGAATTTGTAGCCATCATCCCACTGTAACACAAATTCAGTATTCAGTGAATGCTTAGAAAGAAAGCTGGAAAACAATGCCATTCCAATTCTCTTCTCCTTGTTCCTCTCCATCAGCATCAACAGAAAGAGATGTCTAGCCAGGAAATTCATGTGTGATGCTACTGTTGTCTTTATCTCTTACTTAATCCTCACATAAAAGCTTAGTAACAATCATAGAATTGTTTAGGTTGGAAAAGACCTTTAAGATCATCAAGTCCAACCATTAACCTAACACTGCCATTCCACCACTAAACCATGTCCCTAAGCACCTCATCTATCCTTCTTTTAAATACCTCCAGGGAGGGGGACTTGACCACTACCCTGGGTAGCCTGTTCCAATGCTTAACAACATTTTCAGTGAAAAAATTCTTCCTAATGTCCAGCCTAAACCTGCCCTGTCACAACTTGAGGCCACTTCCCCTCATCCTATCGTCCATTATCTGGGAAAAGAAACCAATCCCCACCTTGCTACAGCCTCCTTTCAGGCAGTTGTAGAGGGCGATAAGGTCTCCCCTCAGCCTCCTCTTCTCCAGACTAAACAACCCCAGTTCCCTCAGCCGCTTCTCGTAAGACTTGTGCTCCAGACCCCTCACCAGCTTTGTGGCTCTCCTCTGGACATGTTCCAGCAATGCAACATCTTTCTTGCAGTGAGGGGTCCAAAACTGAACACAGTATTCGAGGTGCGGCCTCACCAGTGCAGAGTACATGGGCATGATCACTGCCCTACTCCTGCTGGCCATGCTATTCCTGATACAGGCCAGGATGCCATTGGCCTTCTTGGCCATGCGGGCACACTGCTGACTCATATTCAGCCGGCTGTCAGCCAGCACAGTCCATTTCCACCAGGCAACTCCCCAGCCACTTCTCCCCCAAGCCTACCGAAGAACTGCTACCACCCAGATTCCCAAATAATGACCAAACTGTGATCTCATTTTGAATAACTTGGTTTTGCAAAGTGACCAAAAATTATTTTTCTAAGTTTATCTTGTACATTGGCTCCCACTATGATAGCAAATCTTGTCAAAATAACAAAACACCTCCATCCGCATCCAGTCAAGTAGTCTAGGAACCGTGGATTTTGCCATATTTTGATTAAATAGAAGCTTGAAACTCATTTTCAAGAGCAACCACACAGTCAGCTTTTACCAGAGCAAGACTGCAAGTTTATAGTTCTTTCCTCTCCCCTCCTCACTTTACAATGACACATAGATCATTGTAACAAACTTACCACTTTTAAGTTTTAGAGTAGCAAGAGCTGCCTTATAAATCTGGAAATCCCTTTAAAAACAAACAAACAAACAAAAAAACCCCAATATAATACAACTAACCTGATAATCCAGATTTTTCCAGCATTAAATTTAGACACTGAAAAAAGAAACATATGGTGAGACTTGTCTTAATACATAGGGTTAGGAAAGTTTTCAGCAAATCTACGCTAGAATTTTCTAACACAAAACCTGACTGATTCGTCAATTCCTAAAAACAATATAATTGCACAGACACTGTGTGTTTGAGCTATATATTAACCCTTCAAGTATGAAATTGTTTTCAGGCAAGAAATTTACTACTTCAGGTGAGTCAGCTTTTACAAACTTAAAAAAATAAAAAACAAACCACCAATCAGTGCTGTCAGTTTGTTGCTTTACTTGAACGAATTCTGTCCCAGAGCTTGAAAATGCACCTTTTAAAAATTAAACCTGCAATCTCAACACTTTCCAGCCACTACTTGTAGATGCTGGCACTCTGTGCCAGAAGTCTGGACTGGCAGTACTGAGAACTGCTTCCTTCGGTCTGTGCACAGTTCTTCGTGACTCCTCTCACTCCAGTTCTGTGCATTCAGAGTCTGATGAACTACAAGAGAACTGTGGCAGGCTCTGCCGTTATTGCTTATCATTCTGAGGACTGCTGTGTATAAAAGGAGTGGTTAGCCAGGCACGAAGCAGTCTGACTATATTTCATCCTTGGGAAAAAGCAAGGATGTCTCTTTACTACTTGGTGAAAGATCAAGGCATTCTTCCCCGCTGGCCTTTTGGAGTTGAAACACTTCCTTTGCCTCAGTGTCTCCTGGTGACCTAAAGTGACACACAGGTATAAGGCAAAGTTCTCCAGGAGCAGCAGACCTGACGCAGGCATGACAAAAGCTTTTAAAAGACTTTACCTCTTTGATAGAGGCAGTCTCTTCCACGACAATCTCCATCTCAGGGCTTGCGTTTTGGTCACTCCCAACAATAAAATATAAGAAGAGCTAAAAAGCAAGTATAAGCAATCAGAATACATATTTAAGTATGGAAATACCAGGAAATAACACCCCCTAATGCACACATATACCAGCTATTGCAAGCCTGCCATCGGTCAAACAGGAATGAAACTTCGTCGGGCTAAAGCAAACAATCTAAGCAAGATAAACAGAGAAGCACATGCAACTGAATTACGGCCATCAGTATAGCTTCATTAACCATCTGTACATGTCTGCTGCAAATGAGAGCTAAAACCTGCTAGCATTCTGATCTTTAGAAATATGTAACTATTTTTTCTCTTGCATATTTACAAGTCATAGATATCAAAAGCAATACCTCCCTTTTCTTACTTTATGCTCTTTACAAAAATATATGCACATCAGAGCACAGAAGTTGGACAACCACAAACAGATGAATGATAAATGATTTACCATTAGTCAAGTGAGAGATATTAACTGGCCATGCATACGCTTTTGGCCTTCTGCAACTGAGATAAATGGTGTGAGCCTTCATGCTGATATGTATAATTCTCGCTGTCACTGAGCATTTTTTTCCATGTCGTTTACAATCATTGCAAGATAAACAAAGGACCACATCAAATACTGGGAAATACAAACAAAGCATAAAAGCAGCATGAGACTCTTCAGTCACAGCATTACGATACCTGAGTGGAAGTTGGAGCTTTCCCATGACACAGCCCTAGCAAGCTTCCCATTTTCAGTTCTGCTTCCTTGACAGTATAATCCTCAGGCACTTCAGGGAGGACAAAAACAAGGAGAACATCATAAGCTGCTGCTTCCTTAAATATCCATTCTATTATGCTGCTCCTTAGAGTAAGATAAAAATGTTCAGTGACATTTAGAGAACTTCACTTCCAGACATCAGATCTGTAAGCCTCCTATGATGACAGCAAAGCAACATTTGTATAAAGGTTCCTCCCCACCACCCCTTGTATATGGGGTTGAAAGGGGTATTTATAGGTTGTCTGGCCCAAACTCCTGCTCAAAGCAGAACCAGCTTGGAAGTCAGATCAGTTCACTCTGGGCTTTTTCCAGTGAAGCTCTGAAAACCTGCAGGGATGGGTATCTCCTAGCCTCCCAAGGCTACCTGTCTATTGTTTAACCACTCCCAGTGTGAATTCCCTTTCCTTCCCACCACAGCAGCTGGAATTTCCCTTGCTGAAACTTGTGTCTGCTCCCTCTCACCCTTTCCATGTGCTTCTCTGAGAAGAATCTGGCTCTGCCTTCTCTATAGATCCATGTTAATGAGTTCGAGATGGCAATTACTCCTCTTCCCCCCAAGCCTCTTCCTTTTCAGGCTGGCAAAAACCAGCTTCCCTCCTCTTTCATATGTTCCAGCTCCCAAACCATCGCAGGTGCTCTCCTCTGGACTGGCTCTAGTTTGTAAGGGCTTTTTTCTCATGCTGGGGAGCCCCCAAAATGTACACAATACTCCAGATGCTGTCTGACAAGCACTGAATGGAGGGCAACTAATCTCTCCTTGGCTTCCTGGCTGTGTTTTACTAATGAGATATATTAGCAAAATAGCAAAGACACAGAAAATTTTTCCCAGCAAGCACAAAGCCTGATCCAGTTTCTCATCATTGCCCCAACAACTGCAAAAGCAAAGCTTGGGGTCCTCTTCTGCTGAACACTGGCCACTACGAGCACAGTTATATAGTGGCAGGTGGTATTGTATGCTTATCTAAACCTAAGAGCAGGCTATAGCATGAACACATTCTTCCATTCTTATGGAAGCAGAAATCCACACGTTATTCAGTGTGGTTCATATGCTACAGACACAAGCTGCCTTCTCATAGTAAACAGGAACCTAATAGTACTTCCTTCATCACCACAGGACTCAAGTTTACTGCTCAACCTGTTCTGAAATCCAACCATCAATACTCTAACAAATACATTTAGTCCATTTTGTTTCAGGAAATAAAAGTTAGAAGACACGTAACAATGACTACTTCCTGGAACACCTAAAAAGTTTCTCTGCAATGTATTAAATATGATTCAAAACAGACCATTTAGAAATTTTTCAATTTATAAAATAAGTATTGGACACAGAACTTTGCTTTCCCACAGTCTTGAAGCACATGGCCAGTGGTCAATAAATAATAACAAGTATGTTAATCAGTTTTACTCACTAGGGATGCAAGTAATAAAACCAAGCTGAACATTTAAGTTTAACCTCTAGCTTTGTATTGGTACTGTTAATAAACAGTAAACCTGGGGTGAAAAAAAAAAAAACCAAAACCCACACAACTGCCTCAGTTAAGCTTGGAAATTAGTGTAGTTATGTGTGTATACTTCTCCCAGGAAAGGATAAAGCAAAGCTTAAAGTCTCCCAGTTGAAATTCTTACAGAACGATGATTAAAGAAATTAATTTACCTGGAGAAAGAAGTTTCCCATTTCCACTAACAGGTCTAAGACAGCTGCCGTTTGCTGTGACAAAAAAGGGCAGGAAAGGGAGATAAATGGAGAGACAGATGTATTAAATAATTCAAATAGAAGAAATTTGGCTCAGAAGTTTAGACAGGTAACATACTTAAGATTAATGACAACAGGTTTATCTTAGAGGCCTCCCTCTGGAGGTACTACATCAAAGGTACAATTGGAGAGAGATTCCTAGAAATATCGTGAACAGTCTTAGTTTTTATCGTTTCAGTGAACAATTACTTTCTTTGAAGCCAGCTGTTAGCCACAACCAGTAAAATACTCCAAAACTGACCAAGTGCTTCAAAAGTAAAGGCATCAACAAAAGCTTTAAAGAAAGAAAACTGTAGTGTCTTAAAGAAACAAGTAAGATTAAAAAAAAATCTTCCTCAATTCTTAGTGTAATACTTTAAGATGACATGATTATTCCTATTCAAATAGCTTCTGAAAAATAAGAATTTCACAAAATGCATTTTAATAAAGACTTACGTTGATTTTTTTTAAGCTAGGAAAAATAATAATTTTATTTAAAATTAGATTAATTTCAAGTCCTTTGCACCCTCTTTCTCCCCTCAAAAACTCCTAACAGCAATGGGTTTTCTGTTTTGAATAGACCGATACAAAAAAAAAAGGAAGCCTGTCAGTAAATTCTAACAGCATCATATCTAAAATTAAAGCAGCTGAACACTTACCTAGTTCCTCCTCTAGCTGAAGCTCCCGTATTGCTTTCATTTTGATATCTGACATCACCTAAAAGAAAGCAATATTAATATGTCTAATACAGAATGCCAGTAACACACCCGCTGTTCAAATGCCAGTGCACAAAAAGCAGCCTTCACTTGAAATGGATTATGTTCTTATTCCTGTTAAGACTATAAACAGCTGAGAAAACATTTATCATACCAAATATATGTAATAAATAAATGTACTGATATCATAGAATCATTTAGGTTGGAAAAGACCTTTAAGATCATCAAGTCCAACCCTTACAATGTATGTTACATCATAACACATTTGTGGAAATTTTCCTTAAAAACAGTATTCCAAAGAAAATAAAGTGGTATTAATTTTTCGATTTATCAGAAGACTAATATTTCACAAATAGTAATTTTGTGAGCAAAACTAAGTAGTACTTCATATTTTCTATAACAGGAAATAATTTAAAAGGCAGAAAAGGTACCAGAGAAGCCCACCCCTTGGGGAAAACCAGCATTTTTTCCTACCCTATGTTGAAAGCAAAAAATACTTTTCTCCTCTTTTAGCTTTTGTTTACTGACATAGCCTCACCAAACATACATTTACAGGATGGTCCAAAAAGGAAATTGTTTCACACCAAAACACACTAATGTAGACTGCACTGGTTTAAGTTATCAGAATTACAGTGTTATTACACAGCAGTCAAAGTATTCCAGTAACTCTGAGTTGCACACTATTTTCATCACAGAAAAACTTCAGCCCTGAGGCTAAATCCACTCATTAACTGGCCCAAGTGCACCGGCCAAGCTTTTCAGGGAAATGGCCTGTTATATCCTTGAACAATCAGAATCCTTACTGTTTCAATAGTGGCAGTAATTTTAACATGTTTCTCTTCATCTTCCGTTCCGCAGAAGTTTTTAACTTGAAGCCAGCTGATGTCATTTGTAAAAGCAGTCAAATTGCCACTTGACACATTCACAAAGCTGTAAAAAAAAAAAAAAAAAAGCATTGCAAAGATGGTCAAAGACAGGAAAACTATACATTGCCTGGGCTAGATCGCTAAATATCAAAGCTCTCAAAACAAACCTATAATGCCTAGTTCATTAACAGTGATGGCATGTCACAGAGTAAGAGTCAGAGGCTTCAGGCATCATCCAGACATCTCTGTTCTATATTTTGGTAACTAGCTTTCAATGGGACTTGACCTTCTGAAGGCACTTCAGAGTTTAACTCACTTTCTGAGGCTGGATTTAAGACTTCTGGAAAAAATATGGTAAAAGCATACCTAGTCATAACCAAAATTTGAGATTTTCTCTGTCTCTGCTACTGTATATAACCACAGAAACAGTTTTTGGTGAAGAACCCTCTCACTCTTTGATTTAATCTCGATTTTTCACTACTGTTTCAACTAGGAAGTCAGAATTTATGTAATGAGCACATTTTCATGTCTCTCAAAACAAGAACCTAACCTCAGGGCTATACACTGGGATGTGAAACCAGACCAGAAATTTCCCCTGGCAACTTCAGATTCAACTGGGAGATTCAGCAGAGCTGCATACTCTTCTGATATTGTTGTTCTCTCATCCCACCAAGTCCCTCGGAGAACCACACAACTCAAACCTCAGAAATTCAGGTTATACCAAAAATGTGCTAGCAAACTGGGCATGAGTTGCTCTTGCTAGTTTTTTCCCTTTAAAAATGTAAGTTAAAGGATGTGACTGTATCTGCACTTCAAGAGCAAAGAAATATCTAATGGTTGGTAAGTACCTGATTTCCAAACCTTAAGATTACATTACCTTGAATTAAGAGACTCAAAGTGACAATTACTTAACTGAAATATCTATATACAGCTAGCATAATTTTAACTAAATAGATTTTTGCCAAAATTGATTTTTTGTTTAATTATATTTTTAATCAAAATGGTTACCTCTGGTCATGGCTGTCTAAGATTAGTACTGAGCATCCATCCATCAGACCAACACTTTTGACTGTTTCTTTCATATCTTCTTCAAGAAAAACTTCCCAGTTCTTGGCTTCTTTATCTGGTCCTGAGCCATTCTTTAGGATGATTCCTCCTGATGGTGCTAAGGCTCTGCAGAGATCACCCAGTTTTGTGCTGCATGAAAAGACATGCTGCGATTCTGTGAAATGCTGACCCTTCCCTCCTTCATTATACTCCGCTAAACGAAGAACGTTTATGACCACAGGTTCATGATCAGGGCCTGCCATCACCTTTGTACCACCAACCTGAAGTGAGGAATGCAAGATTTATGCAGCAGTGATCAATAAAATACAGAAAAAAAATTAACAGCAACAAATGACAACAATGAAATTATTGAGATAAAGATGGACCCTCTCTGCTCATTAGAAATAAATCACCTTTGACAAATGCATTCTGAACAAACAACTAGAGTAACTCAAAGGTGGGAGGAAGAGAAAGCATAATGCTAAGGTCTGTTTCGAGTCTGCATGTATAATAAATACATTGGTAACAGTAGCTGGGAAACCAGTGGACACTTGGTTTCCATCAGATTAAGAGCAGAGGAATTTAGCCCCTCAGGATATTAAAACAACTATCCAAAAGTGTGACTGAGGTAGATCAAAAGAGTTAGGTTTTAAAAACCGGCCTTTCTGATATTCAGCCTAGGCAAAGAATATAGTTCCTTGACAAAGGCAATCTGATCACGCAGGAAGCTGGAAATCATATCAAAAGTACAACCAAGACAAGAACAACCCTGTTACTAGATGCTTTCTTTCGGTTTTGTGATAAATCAGAAAGAAAATGTATACTTTTACAACCAAAATATTTTAAAAATAATATTCTATTCCATTACAGAGATGGAATTAAATGCTATGTTACATAACCACTGAGGCAAGCATTTGAAAGTTAAGCAGGAGCCGTAACATTAAAAAGAAGATGCAACACTAGAAAAAGAACACAGTATTTCAGGGAGACCACACACAAAAGTAGTCATTCACAGGTCTAATTTTATGTGTGGAATCATTTATTACAGGGCATAAATTTTTGCTACCTCATTACTATCAACCAATCTCCTTCCAACAGGCACCAGATGTTTTCAGAATACACTCCAGTGTAACTGGCACTGGATATCTACAGGAATCTATCAATCTGACCATATCGCATTCTGCATAGTAGAATTCTATTTATTATCAAACATCATACCGTACATCACTCAAGGTATACTGAAAAGCTGTAAAGACATAGTATCCTAGATGAGGCTGAAGTGGTGTTCCCAGACTCAACATTGGTATGTCAGCAGCACATCAGCAGAACAGACTGATGATTCCAAAAAAACATCTGGAGATTGCATCTTATCTCTTCAGAATTGACAAGGAGAAGCTATTTGGTTTTTTTACCTCTTTACCATTCCATACGAAGATGTCTGCTCCATCAGCCAGCCCAATGCCATCTAGTGTCAGCTCATCTCCTAAAAAGGAGCAAATCATCAAGTTCTTTCCCCCCACCACAAAGCGGACAAGCAGGGTCAGCTGATAAACCAAAATATGATAGCACATTCTTACTCTGGCTCAAGTGTATCATTACAAAAGCTGCTGCGTGATCAGTATTTATGGTGGGTAAGTTAGGGTTCACTCATGTAGCAAGAGCAACACAAGGGGGTACACACCCCCACAGAACTCTCACCGAGTGAAGAGGGACACAGCACAAAGATTTCAATTCAATTTTCCTTGCAAACTGAGGCCCAAGTTAGGACTTGGCAAAGCTTCTTGGTCAGGATTATCTACATGACATTTAACAGTGAACCAATAGATTTAAAATTAAAGGTTGGATTAAAAAAATGAATTACAGACTGTACATTCCAAGCCCATTCTTTGCAATACTAATGCCCATGCTGCAGCTTCTTTTACCTTCCTCCCTTAAGTCAGATTCAGATTTTTAAAAAAGTCATTGTCATTTAAAGAACTAGAAACTAGAGGAATATTTACAGCAGCTATAAATGCCTCGGTCTTTCGATGTCAAAATCACAGAAATTTGGGTTACGGTAGAACCCTAATTTTCTGAAACAGACCACAAAGACTATAAAAACTAAAAATGGCTGGTAGGCTTTTGAAGACTAACACATAGAATTGCATAACAATGCAAACCTGGAAACACAACCCATGATTTTAAAATACTAATGTACTCTTGTTGTGCCCATTTTCAAAAAGGGTAGAAAGGAAGACCCCGGGAACTATCGACCTGTCAGCCTCACCTCTGTGCCTGGGAAGATCATGGAACAGATCCTCCTAGAAGCTATGCTAAAGCACATGGAGGCCAGGGAGATAATTCGAGATAGCCAGCATGGCTTCACCAAGGGCAAGTCATAGAATCATAGAATGTTTATGGTTGGAAGGGACCACTATTGGTCATCTAGTCCAACCCCCCTGCAGGAGCAGGGACACCGCTAACTAGATCAGGTTGCTCAGAGCCCCATCCAACCTGGCCGAGAATGTTTCCAGGGATGGGGCCTCCACCACCTCTCTGGGCAACCTGTTCCAGTGTTTTACCACCCTCATTGTAAAAAATTTCTTCCTTACCTCTAGCTTGAACCTACCCTGTTCTAGTTTAAAACCATTTCCCCTTGTCCTAACACAGCTGGCCCTACTAAAAAGACGTTCCCCATCTTTCCTATAGGCCCCCTTTAGGTACTGGAAGGCCGCAATCAGGTCTCCCCGTAGCCTTCTTTTCTCCAGACTGAACAAGCCCAACTCTCTCAGCCTGTCCTCATAGGAGAGGTGCTCCAGCCCTCGGATCATTTTTGTAGCCCTCCTCTGGACCCGTTCCAACAGTTCCATGTCCTTCTTGTGCTGAGGGCTCCAGAGCTGGACGCAGTACTCCAGGTGAGGTCTCACCAGAGCTGAGTAGAGGGGCAGAATCACCTCCCTCGACCTGCTAGCCACGCTTCTCCTGATGCAGCCCAGAGTACGGTTGGCCTTCTGGGCTGCCAGAGCACATTGCTGGCTCATGTCTAGCTTTTCATCCATCAGTACCCCCAAGTCCCTCTCGGCAGGGCTGCTCTCGATCCTTTCTTCCCCCAGCCTGTATTGATACTGGGGGTTACCCCAACCCAGGTGCAGGACCTTGCACTTGGCCTTGTTGAACCTCATGCAGTTGGCCTCGGCCCATCGACCCAGCCTGTCCAGGTCTCTCTGCAGAGCCCTCCTCCCCTCGAGCAGATCAACACTACCACCCAGTTTGGTGTCGTCTGCAAATTTGCTGAGGGCACCCTCAGTCCTGCCTGACAAACCTAGTGGCTTTCTATGATGGTGTGACGTCAACGGTGGACAGAGGGAAACCAATGGATGTCATCTATCTGGACTTCTGCAAGGCCTTTGACACGGTCCCCCACAACATCCTTCTCTCTAAATTGGAGAGCTATGGATTTGATGGATGGACTGTTCGGTGGATAAGGAACTGGCTGGATGGTCGCATCCAGAGGGTAGTGGTCAATGGCTCAATGTCCAGATGGAGATCAGTGACGAGTGGTGTCCCTCAGGGGTCCGTACTGGGACCGGTGCTCTTTAACATCTTCATCAATGACTTAGACAGCGAGATCGAGTGCACCCTCAGCAAGTTTGCGGATGATACCAAGCTGAGTGGTGCGGTTGACACACCAGAAGGAAGGGATGTCATCCAAAGAGACCTGGACAGGCTGGGTCGATGGGCCGAGGCCAACTGCATGAGGTTCAACAAGGCCAAGTGCAAGGTCCTGCACCTGGGTTGGGGTAACCCCCAGTATCAATACAGGCTGGGGGAAGAAAGGATCGAGAGCAGCCCTGCCGAGAGGGACTTGGGGGTACTGATGGATGAAAAGCTAGACATGAGCCAGCAATGTGCTCTGGCAGCCCAGAAGGCCAACCGTACTCTGGGCTGCATCAGAAGAAGTGTGGCCAGCAGGTCGAGGGAGGTGATTCTGCCCCTCTACTCTGCTCTGGTGAGACCTCACCTGGAGTACTGCGTCCAGCTCTGGAGCCCTCAGCACAAGAAGGACATGGAACTGTTGGAACGGGTCCAGAGGAGGGCTACAAAAATGATCCGAGGGCTGGAGCACCTCTCCTATGAGGACAGGCTGAGAGAGTTGGGCTTGTTCAGTCTGGAGAAAAGAAGGCTACGGGGAGACCTGATTGCGGCCTTCCAGTACCTAAAGGGGGCCTATAGGAAAGATGGGGAACGTCTTTTTAGTAGGGCCAGCTGTGTTAGGACAAGGGGAAATGGTTTTAAACTAGAACAGGGTAGGTTCAGGCTAGAGGCAAGGAAGCAGTTTTTTACAATGAGGGTGGTAAAACACTGGAACAGGTTGCCCAGAGAGGTGGTGGAGGCCCCCATCCCTGGAAACATTCTCGGCCAGGTTGGATGGGGCTCTGAGCAACCTGATCTAGTTAGCGGTGTCCCTGCTCCTGCAGGGGGGTTGGACTAGATGACCAATAGTGGTCCCTTCCAACCATAAACATTCTATGATTCTATGATTCTTAACAAATTAAAGTACTCTTTATCTAAGCATTTTCCTTTACAAAATTCCTACTTCAGCTTAGGTCTAATCTACATTTTAATTTGATGTCACCCTGGGTCTTCTCTTCTATCCCCTCCTTTACCTACTAGGTAAACACTATGAAAGCAAACATTCATAAGCAAATCAAGGTCAAAGTACAGACCGATAGATTTTTGTCAGCAAATGTGTTTTTAACTTGCATATGATCTGCAGTCTTACTGCACTTCACAGAAAAAGATTACATGTAAAAGTCCCAAAAAACTTCATTTCACTAGTAAGATTGTCCTAAATACCTTAACAGCAGTGGACTTGCATGTAAGTTTGAGTTCTAAGAGTGTTCAGTAATACACTTCTCCAAGACGTTTTACATACAAAATCCTCGATGCCTGCAGTAAATACAACATACAAATAAAATGGAAACCTTGTATGTAGTAGTCTTACCATCAAGCATCTGGTAAAGATGCAGACCTGCTGGTAAAGGCTTGGCAATACTGAGAATCATGTCTCCTTCCCAAGATTCCAACACCTAATTGGAAAGAATTTAAAAAAAAAAAAACAAAATCAAAAAAAAGCATAAAACACCAGCAACCTGTAACTCACATCACTCAAAATTACAGCTTTGCTGAAAGCTGTTACAGCCTGGCTACCAAGCTCACTTTGACACTTAGCAAGTCACAGCTATTTACTTCAACAAGGCCAGTAACACAGAAAAACAGTCAACCATTTAGGACTTGGCCTTTCAGACTAGTCACCAGATAGACAAAAATAACATTTCAACTGGACACTAACCAAAGGGTGCAAGGTACAGGAAAAGCAAACAGTGTTTCCTGACATTAAGTTAACTTTGATTCAGATGTCTATAAAAAAGCATTTTACAAATTGTCATATTCCTTTAACATAGTAGGGAATAAATGCAAAGATACCACATTCAATAGTTAAGCTCAATACTTCTTTTAACTAATTTTCTTTTTTCTTAAACTATTCTGATTATTTCCTTTTAAGGCCAGCTAGCTCCTTGAAAATACAAAGACAAATCTGTCACAAACTGAAATGTTAAGAATAAGCCTAGAGTTTTGCAGTGTCAATCCATGCCCATGTACATGCTGCCCAAATAAAAATAATTAGCTTATGAAAGCTTTAAAGTCTACATAGTTGAAGATTCATCAATTACATGGTTTCTTCAATACTTTGAGAACAGATGTCAAACCAATGACACTTGTGTAAATCCGTATCATTTTAACTTCCTAAAATAACATTTACTCTTGAAAATAACAATTGTGGCATAAATATGTATGTTGTAGCTCAAGTAAAACTAAAGTGTTTGAGTTCATTTAATATAGCAAATACCTGGAATACTGATTGTCGAAGATCTCCTAGTGTTTTTCTTCTATCAATAGTCAAATCCAAAACACTCTCTTTCCAAGTAACTGAAGGATGCAAAGCCCCATTGTGAAATTTATAACATGAGCTCAAATGGAGATGTAAATCAATGCCATGGTTTGCTGAGTCACATTCCTCTCTTTGAAAGAACAACACAATAATAAACCAGTGAATTTAACATCAACAAATAACTAGCTTATTTCAGAGATGCTTCTGTGCAACTGTCCTGGAACTGATATCCTAAATTCATTGTCACATTCCTGCCTCCATCAAGGGGTATGCAAAGAGGTGCTCAAAGATGACAGTGATTTACACATTGTACAATATGGAGCCAGTGTAGACATCCTACACGTAAGCACTATAACAGTATGTTCTGTGTGTTTCTACACCTTGCTTCTACCTTTCTAAATGGAACTGCAAACTTCATCTTTAGGGATGTGGAGATGGTAGGTTTTTTCAGTCTGTGTTCCAGATCAGTACTCTGCTGAAATGCAGAGACAGAAATACTGCATGGAAACTGAGCCAGGACAGACACAGCCACGCCTTCCTCCTTTACACCTGTATCCAGTTCTATTAGCTAAATGTAGTAGCAAATACATCATTTAAAAATAAAGGAGTGAAATTTGCACACTACAGAGATATCACACAAAACTTGAGTCTCTTGTGTGTGTCTATATACTGATAGCTTAACTGCGATTCAGGCACATCATGAGTTCTGTGTTCCTCAACAGAAGGAAAAGGTTCAACCAACCTGAATACCACTAGCTCTTTCCTCTGCGTTTCTGGCAGAATAGCATTTATCTGCTGTTTCACAGTAAAGCAAGTCATTTCCCCTTCTCCCAATGGAGAACTCCCTCTATAAACATAATTAAGATAATGTATTCCATTCTCCTTCCAGAATTGCACTGATTTTCACAAAAAAAGGGTACAATTTTAAACTGCAAGTAAGTTTCCCTTGACATTTTGTAGAATGCCTAGTTATGCCACTAACACAGAGGCAGGGAATCAGTAAAGGCAGAATGTGGGCATACAAGTTGTATTCCTCAATTAAACTCTATGACATTGAATCATTTTAGTATCTGGCTCTCCTCAATGAGCTTCTTTCATTTTAAATCACTTTGAGATCTGCAGATTAAGAATGCTGTTTAAGAGATTGCTACAGTTACGTTAATATACCTCTTTTTTTGCAGCTCAGTATTAGCAGCATTCATTTCATTCAGAAGGTGTTCAGGAATTTGGTACCTTGGATTTCCTCGTGCTGCAACAAATAATATAGGCTGGTTTGGCCTCAGCTGCTTAAAATGTGTTTCGGCAAACAAGAAGAGTGATCAAGATGAGACATTACAGTATGGTAATCACTGAAAATTAAGAGCAATAACGTTGCATCCTTTTTAACAGAGAAAATTAAACTGCAAGATACAAAAACCAAACAAGTGCTTTTACTTCTTGCCATCAATCTTACCCTAAGAGAAACTGATACAAGAATGCAGTTAGCAACAACTTTTATGTTTCAGTAGGGGATGTTCTGCTAGTATTTGTGAACCATAGTGTCAGCTATAGCCAATTAACTGGTCACTACCTCCTTGAAGGTAACCTCCATGTATCTTAGTTAACCCTTTTTTCAAGTGATCACTAGAAAGAAAACTGTATCTTCAGTTCTTGGAAAGGACAGAAATGCCCAACAGGCTTTGCCCTCCAGAAAACAAACTGCCAATGAAGTCAGTCCCCAGAATATCAAGATGAGCTTTGTGTACCTTCAGGTGGTCTTTTTAACTGAGATTTTCGGTAAAACAGCATGTAGGCACTCTCTTTACCCTGAAATTGTTTCTCAATATCCTTCTCCTTGATTGGCTGGACTTTTGAATCGTTCAGATCAAACCAATGGCAACCAGCAGAACTGTCCCTTAGCCTTGTAGAGTTTTTTTCCAAATTCCACTGGACATCATTCTTCTGAGGAAGACTTTGGAGATCTTGTTCTCGAGAATCTGACTTAAATGGGAGCTTGTATTTTTCCTTCAGACCAACCTTATTTTCATCAGGACTGAACTGAAATATCTGAGGATGATTCTGCAAATACTAAAAGGAAAGCAAGGACAAGATGAAGAAGATACCCAGTTTTAAATATAGCAAATGGCACTAGCTACTTCACCTGGTTCATCCTTAAATTGATACAAGAACCCCATCCCTTCAAACTTGGGTTTTATGATGCATCCTCATGTATTTCCTCAGTTTAGACAGAAAAATGTAGTTTTCCTGCCATTACTTATCTGCCTCATCTTTTAAATGCTGTTGCTGGCTTTCTTTCTTATGTAAATTCACATTATCATGGAAGAAATTGCAAAACGCTTGTTTTAAACATAGATGCATCACTAAGAATTAAATCAAACCAACTTCTGAATTTCAAGGATTGCTTAAAACCCCAGATTCCTTTTGAAACACTTCTCACAAGTGCACACTCCCTGTCCCTGGAAAGGTAGCATAGGGAGTGATGCTCTATAGGTAATCAAAAAGCCTCTGCTTTATGAGACACACAGAGTACCATCCCCACCAGTTTAGCCCTTTAACATTGGTACTTTCTGCTCCCTAGTCTCCACAGAAGTGCTCCCTTCTGTATTTACCACACAAGGACTGAGCTCAATTCTAGTCTGCTGAGTTGTCTTATCCAAATTAACGCTGCCCATCGCGACATGTCAAGAACTTAAAACCTACTCATTCCATTTTGCCCAATTTATCCACTTTGTTCTCTACTTTCATTTTAGCAGTATGCAGATACTTCAGATAAGCTTGGTGTCCAAATTACACAAAACGCAATAGTGGCTCTTGAGGGATGGGAGGGGGGTACAACCACCCTTCAATCCCCCCACAAAACTACAAAAACCCCTCCCCCCCCCCCCCCCCAAAAAAAAACCCAAACAAAAACAACCCCCCAAAATCTGAATTTCAGTTTTAATCACCATCAAAAACTCATTTGATACTTCAAAAAGCTTAAAACAATTTACAATTATTTCAATAATGCAAGTCCTGCATTGATCAGTGTGCTTTTGGTATAGATCCGGCACTTCTGGAAAGTCAGCTTTGGTAATAATCACAATAGCACTCAAACATTGAAATGGTTAATAATGGGTTGCTCAGAAAAGCATCTACCTCTGCAGAAAACTCACATTCAGGTTTCACAACTACCTTTTAATAATTATTGTGAAAACTGCATTGTTCTATTCAAAAAACAGTCAAACATGATTTTTCCCCATATCTGTAACACAAATGCTAAAATATTTTCCTTAAAGCATTAGAAAGTGCACTAACCGATTGGACAAACACAAGATTTTACTGTGGTGGTTTGACCCTGGCTGGATGCCAGGGGCCCACCAAAGCCGCTCTATCACTCCTCTTTTTAACCGAACAGAGGAGACAAAAGTAAATCAAAGGGCTTGTGGGTCGACATAAGGACAGTGGGAGATCATTTGTCAGTTACCATCACGGGCAAAACAGACTCAACTTGATAAAATTAGTTTAATTTATTATCAATCAAAATCAGAGAAGGAGAGGATAAAAACTGCTAAATCTTAAAAACACCTTCCCCCCACCCCTCCCTTCTTTCTGGGCTCAACTTCACTCCCAGATTTCTCTACCTACTCCCCCCCAGCAGCACAGGGGGATGGGAATGGGGGTTGGGGTCAGTTCATCACACGTTGTCTCTGCCCCTTCTTCTTCCTAGGGAGAGGACTCTTCCCCTGCTCATATGTAGGGTCCCTCTCACAGGAGACAGTCCTCCAAAGACTTCTCCAACGTGAGTCCTTCCCACGGGCTACAGTTCTTCACAAACTGCTCCAGCATGGGTCCATAATCTCCACGGGCTGCAGTCCCTCAGGAGCAGTCTGTTCCAGCGTGGGTCCCCCACAGGGTCACAAGTTCTGCCAGCAAACCTGCTTCAGTGAGGGCTCCTCCCCCACAGTCTGCAAAGTCTTGCCAGGAACCTGATCCAGCGCAGGCTTCCCATGGGGTCACCGCCTCCTTCCTTTGGTCATCCACCCACTCCGGTGTGGGGGCTACAGGTGGAGATCTGCTCCACCGTGGACCTCCATGGGCTGCAGGGGGACAGCCTGCCTCACCATGGTCTTCACCACGGGCTGCAGTGGAAATCTCTGCTCTGGCACCTGGAGCACCTCATCCCCCTCCTTCTTCACTGACCTTGGTGTCTGCAGGGCTGCTTTCTCTCTCCGGCTACTGAGCTGCAGCTGGCTTTTTTTCCTTCTTAAATATGTTACCACAGAGGTGCTTCCACTGTTGCTGATTGGCTTGACCTTGGCCAGCAGTGGACACAGAGAAAACTTCTAGCAGCTTCTCACAGAAGCCACCCACCCCTGTAGCCCCCCGACTACCAAGACCTTGCCACACAAACCCAATACATTTACTGTAAGTGTTAATCTTATGGACATGCCCTAATCAACCAAAAAGTGGCATAGATTTTCAAAACCTCACTTCTATTATGACTGTGAAGTAGTACTGTATTTCTTCTTTAATTCTCAGCTGTGCTTTTATGTTCAAGTGGTAGCAGCTTCATCCACAGACACCAGTGAAACAAGGTTCGGTATGTAAGGTTAGTTCTTTTACAGGCCAACCACATAGATTGGAAAAAAAAAAAAAATACAAGCTTTCAGGCAGACAGTACCTTGAGAATCTTGTCCATGTTCCCCAGTGTACTAATTTACCCTACAAACCTCTCTTACACATGCTCTATCTTGCTAGTCCAAGTGCCAGTAATTTCAATTACCATCCTACTGACTATTGAATAGGAATATAAATGTAAAGTTATCTTAACAGCAAAACCCAAATTAACATACATGCATATTACCTTTCGTAATGCTCCATATTGTTTTCGGTATTTCTTATTCCAAGACACCCCTTTTTTCTCCAATAATTTCTGCCCTAATTGATCCACAGGAATTTGTGTAGATTCTTCCTATAGGGAAATTAAAAACTGGGGTAATGAAGGCTACAAAAGTCAAGGGATCAACACAAAGAAGCCAATTCTGAAGTGCTCAAACCAATGATGGAACATCATTGTTTGCAACAGCTTCAGCAAGCAACTTGCAAAATAGTCAAAAAGGGCCGTTTTATGTATCAAGAGCCACTATTAGTATTAAGTTACAAGTTTTATGTGCTTCACAGCAAGTTTGAAGTGTTCTGTACGCTTAAACCTGCACTCTTGCATACACTAACCCCTTCTTCTAGGTTCCTTAATATCAAAATCAAAGCAATAAATTCCTTACATACCATACCTCTGATAAAATCCCTTTCAACACTGCCAAAGGATTTTCTACTTCTTCAGCATTTTCAGTATCTCTTAAAGCCTTATCTTCAATCAGCCTATTCTCTTCTTCCTGTGCAAGAAAAATAAAGCTCACAAATACTTTTGTTTCACACACAGCTAGCAGTTTTTGATTATAGTCTGCACTAACATTAGCATGCACAATTTAGAAGTGCGAAGAAAGTTCTGATAAGCTGCCTCTACCACCTCCTACAAACTGTATATTGTTACACTACCATTTTTTTTTTTTAACAGAAAAGACTTTCATGTTGTTCACAAACAGCCGTAGTCATCCATTAAAATGACTGTGCTAGTCTTGAGCAAAGATAATTCATTTGTGAAAGAAAAAGCGAGCCCAGTAACGTGAGATAGTTCAGCAGATCAGAAAGCTAAAATTTGCTACAAAATCTTGACAGAGATCGCATACTGTGGAAAACTTGCCTTCTCACAATGAGGTAAGAGACCAAATGCCTCACTAAAATAATCATTAGTTTGGATGTACATTTCATCCACTAGCTTAAAAAATGAGGCATATCAAGCAAGGAAGAAAAGCCTTTAGAACTTACTTGTAATTGCCAGTTTCCTAATTCATCCACATCTCTGATATAAACATGATAGTGTCCTCCATAGCAGCCACCTTTATGTATAATAACAGAGAAGAGCTCATACATGTACTCCGAATCATCCATTTCAGTCTTTAAAAAGAAAAACAATAACAATAATAACATGTATCAGTAAGTCTTTCACACAAGGACAGTTTTACACCATCAGCATAGCTTCAGATACTTCTCAGTGTGCATTTGCAGATGCAGAGATTGAAATAGCTTTTCACTACTGGGGAACACAAGTATGGGCTGACACAAACCATGGGCCAGGGCACAGGCTTATTAAGCAACTTTTTAAGCATGATTGTGAACAATACTGGAAATTCAAAATTTAAAATAATGAAATATTGATGCAAAGAATAGAATGGCTTTACCTGTTTGTTTATTTTGCTTAAAAGACTAGAGAAAAAACAAGTAACACATTTATATAAACAAACCAATTGAAAAAAAATGCTTCCTCAAATGCAAACACTGAGAAATTTCCAAGCTTGCATTGCAACATTTCAGTAAGAAAAATGTCTTTTTCAATAACAGTGCCTCTATTAAGTATATTCATTATATATTTTAAGGATCAAAAATTGCCCTCAAGTACTGGCATAGCTCAGTTTATAATCAAAATACATATATATGAATGCAAAGACAGATTCTTAAGAAAAATGAAATAACTACAGGCACATTAAACATACATAGCTAAATTTATACATGACGCCATCTGACAATGACAATACAAAACAAATTTAATTTAAATTTCCAGGCAATAGTTTTCCTTTCAAGCAAATGTCAGATTAAGTTTTAGGTAATTATTATACCCTCCTTTTACACCTACAAGGTATTTCCCACTCAGTTAGAAAGTGGTTTTTTTGGATACAAATTGGAACTCCAAAAATTTGGAACTGGGGACAGCAGAGAACCCCACAAAATTTCTCAAATACCTTGTCCTGACAAAATGCAAAATAAAAGCTAACTTTGAAGCCATGCAAAGCCACAAAGTAACTCAATAGTCAATTTGTGAGACTATGAGCAGGTATTTATTACAGCGCTGGATGCACAGGGGGATCACTCCTCCTCATGTGTATGCCACATGGGGTTAGTTGCATAGCTTATATACAAGTTTTACGTACATATTCATTACATTCCTCAGAAAAGGCAGGGATAGGTAAATTAATTCCTGGAAATCATTTAGATATTCTCCTCCCAGTTGCACATGCTCTGTGATTTGAGTCGGTGGTCTTCAGGGGTCATTTACTTCATCCACTCCTTCACCTTGTCATTTTGGTGAACTCCAGCTTTTACCCCCCTAATTGTGCTGTCAGAGCAACACAGCCGGTACCAGCTAGCTCCCCATCCTTGAAGCCCCTTTACCTCCACATCTCCTGGTTCCCATCCCTGGCTATCCTCATATGACAAAGTGTTAGACATTTTGTCCCCTACGTGCCTTCCAAGGCTGGCAACAAAGATAGGCAATTTGCTATAAATCTCGCCTTTTTTCTCTAGTGATGCACATTCCACACACTGTTAGTTTCTTATCTACAGTTTCTTACTTCATATGGTTAGTAAGTTAACCTAAAACACAATGCTAGCTAGCACTTTAAACCGGATTTTTCTCAAAGATGTTCTGCTTTCTCAGGGCTGTTATCACATTCCAGCTACAGTTGGCTTCACAGAGGTCTCTTGTTAGCCTTCAGCATCCTTTCAACTTGTCCTTGAGATATCGGTTCTCTGCAGAGTGTATAGAAACTTTAACAAATAGAACAGTATATACCTGCTCACAAAAAGGCCTCAGGTTTATCTGGACGGGGAATGTATAGCAGCTCGTTTCCTTATATCGTTCACACTTCTCAAAGTCAAAGTTAAATCTCAGGAGAGAAATGGTGAGAAAGGGTGGCAACTTGCGCAGTTTAGCAGACTGAAAAATGATAAAAAAAAGTTGTAAGCACACAGTTATACAGAACAGTGTTTCCACTTTGCTATATGGTCAACTCTTTACTTTCCAACAATGCTTGGTATTACCAGGCAGACATGACCAGTGTTTCCATCTTAAAAATGTCTTCCCTAATTCTCAATTTCCCTACTGACTAGACATCCTAAAAGCAATCAAGATCTTTCCCCTCTGTTAAGCCCTACACCTTCCTTGAATGGTGATCACCAGTCTCCTACAAAAAACAAAGGAGGGCACTGCTGAAATTCTAGTCAGTAATTACATTTCCATAGCCCACACGTTCTTTGTGAGAGGATTTTCTGGAACTTTATACTAAGAAGCAACTGTTTCAAATCCCTGGATTTGTGCTTATGCATAAAGTCAGACTACACAGCACCTTCCCAGCAACTTTGCTCTTGGCCTGTTGCATAGCACCTGCCACACAGGCCCACCACAGCCCCACACAGACCCTGGGAGCCCAGAGTAAAAAGCACAAACCCTCAACTGCTGCTGAAAAGCAGGCGCTGCAGAAAAGTGACACAGCTTCCTGGTAGCTTTGCCATTCCCAGATGAACAGTGGGGTGCTCAGTATCTGGCACGGGCCCTGAAGCCACCCAAAAAGAAGTAGCTATGAATGAAGCTCAACCAACAAACATAGCTTACATGCTTGCTTCTACTGCAAAGAAAGGACCTCAACTGAGGCTGGGGCTATTACTCTTCTGGTCATCTCCATTTGTATTTCACCTGAGGTTTATTTCAATGACCACTGAGGATTTTTCCAGTTCTTTGGGGTTGTGCAACCCCAAATATAGATCAGGGCTTGTACAGTCACAGTGTTTTCAAATGTGGAAATCAGAAATGATCCTATCTGTAACATAACTAGCTCCAACAGGTGTATACTGTCCAGAAAAAGATATCACTCCCACATGTATTTTGCAGCCTGATGCTGAGTGACTGTTGGGCTGCCTCCAAATGCAACAGAAATGGTCTGAAAAGTGTCACTAGAATACGTGACAGCAGCATCTTGCTTAAGATCTGCCAGGCTGCTTGAAGAAAAGGGCCTCGACTAAGACCTGTGAGCTATGCTAAATGAGCACGATGCTGTGCCTGAGTGGCATGGGGTAGGTGTATCCTGGAAGACCCTACAGCCAGCCGCAGAACAACCAAGCAAGTTAACCCTCATTTATACAGAAGAGGACCTTCAAGGTAGGAAAGCCAATATAATACATTTTAGTAAGGAAGAATATTAATCAAGATCAAACAACTTGGTGCATGAGTACATCAGGAATGCTGGTGCGAAGCAAAACCAACCTTCTTGTTGATGATGGTTGGTTGAACGTAAATACAGATTCAGTGACACTGAATGTAAGTGCAGATTCAATGGACACACTTCTGCGCCTTTCCAATGTCTCCACCCAAATCTCCATTTGCAGATCCATACCAGAGAGCCTCCCAGGAACACATATATGGCTTAAGAAACTCCCTGATTTAGGTATTTAATTTGTGTCAGTTGTGAAGACTACTGTGCAGAGCTTAGTGGCATAAAGGATTTTGCATGCTCTTCCAAGTTTACAGTAATAATCAGACTGTACAATTAAAATTCGATAAAGTTGTAGAAGACAATATTCTTCAGTTACGAAATTCTCTAGAGGCCAGAAAGAAAAAGGGGAAAGAATAACATCCAAAGACCCACAGAGTACTGAAGGAAGGGAAGAATGGACTGGGTAGGCATGGGCCATCTTGTCTTTGAAACAAGCTAGGTGTGGGCAGGTGGTGGCACTATTAGACAGCTGCCTTCCTAAGGCTGCCACCAAGCCTAGAGTGACTCAGCTGGCACCTCACTTGCTGCCAGTGTTGACTCTCACTATAGTCTGCTGAGATCACACACATCATGCATGTGGAGCCACAGTGAGCAGTCATGCTGACACAATGTCCCTTCCACTCGCTACAGCCTTCTAGCACAGCCCCTCTCTTTTGAGGCTGTCCATTCATACCCCAGCAACCCTCAGCTATGCGACTTCTTACCCAAGTTCAGAGTTCCCACTGTCTTCTGCAAGGATGAACACATTTGAGAGGTAAGCAACTGTTACCTTGTACTCCCTTGAACCCAGAAAAGTTTAACTCAAACAATCTCTTATAACCAAGCCACATTAGGCACTGGCAAATGTTCCTGAACTCCCAAGTCACTGGTTAACTTCACCTGTCCTCAGCTCACCCTTGCACCCGCTCCCTTCCACATTAAGGGTGCTGCAAGGTTTGGATTGCGCTCATCCTGCTGCAGAAGACAGTCACCACAGTAGGCCAAAGAGCTTCGCTGTTGTGAAGAGGGCAGAGTATGTCAAAGGCAGACTGCACTAACAGCTTATGTCTGCTTCCCCTTTACAAAAAATAGTGGGAATAACAGGAAAGAGGAGCAACTTTTTATAAAAAACTTATGACATGAAAAATTAGCACAGAAGAAAACCAAACACCACTTTGTATCATTCTGGGAAAATGCGATTCAAAGACCTACAACTCCGGTAAAGCTCTTGCTGGGCTGCCCTTCCCTGGCCCTGGCTAAGGGGATGGACGTAAAAAGTCTTAAGTTCTATTACTATGTTGGGGAAACCAGTCCAAACCGTTGTAAACCAAGAAACAGGGACAAGCTGTCAACACAAGGATGCTGCAGGCTGCACTGGCTTACAGACAGTAAACAGTGTTAACAGCCATGCCACCATTTAACGAAGCACTCAGGATCACATACACAACTCTTCTGGAAGATGCCAATGTCCACAAGTGTCAAGCTTTCCCAAGGTGCCCAGGTGTGAAGGCAGGGAACCGGGCAGACAAAAGAGTACTCCAGTCTAGATATCCCTGAGCTCCTGCAAATCACTCTCAATAATTAACAGGCTTAATGGCAACAGTTCTCCATCAAACATTGAGGAGCTCTGATGACTCAGCAGAGGAAAAGGTCACCGCTTTGGCTTTACAAGTAATTTTTAAAAAAAGAACTCAAACCCGACAGTTCTCACCCATAGCTGAGTACAGACCAAAGCAGCAAATTGTTCACTAGAAGATTACAACAAAGCAGCACAACTCGGAGAAACCCATCAGCTTCCTTCAAAAGCATCTTCAAGTTACTGCCTGAAGGAGAAGACTCTTTTACAGTCCATATTCTGACCACAGGAACAGCTTTGCTGTGCCTGGATTTTTATCCTCCTCGTTCCTGACCTCTCAAATGGAGGGAAACTCCTGATAGTGCCCATGGATGGAAGCCACTGGCTTAGCATGTGACAAGTGGTTGAAAAGCTCACCAAGAGAGGACATGAGGTGGTGGTTGTTGTACCAGAAGTAAGCTGGAAGATGGGAAAAGCACAGTCAAACACACCCAGTGTCTTACACGTTAGAAGAGCTGGATGGTTCCTTGCATGAATACATTCTCACTCACCTGAAGGCTCTAGCACCACAGAATGTACTGAAAATGCCTGCTAAGGTGTTAATCTACCACTGCAAGAACCTGTTCAGCATCAGGGAAACAATGCAATACCTGGATCAATAGTTCCAATTTCCCTGTGCAGAGTTAACATGTGTTTATAATTTTTCTCTCCCGTTTGGGTTCTTCATGAGAATTTCCACTTTTTTTCATTACATGGATCTGTTTATTTTTTTCTTTATGCTCTAGCTTATCTTTTAGCCTATCCTCTGAAATGCTCAAAGCCAGGGGCAGTGGAGGTGTGTGAATGAGGCAATACCCTCGAAACTACATGCTATCCCATTTACCACTGGCTAGGTTAAAGACTGCAACAACATTTAAGTCAAGAAATGAATCACACAAGCTTTTCTTGACATAGTTTCTGAGGTTTAAAAAAAACAGGTCAGATGTTGACACCCTCTTGTTATATATTGTGTGATTAAAGATACATATTTTTTTATTTTGGAGTTAGAGGGCAGACACAGCAATGTAAACAAAGTTCCTAAACGTTAGCAAACTGAACACTGAGAATCACCGATGCATTACCTTTGAAGCTTCAACAAGTTTATCACAGGCTCCACATCGATACAAGTTCTCATTTTCAAAGTACTCTTCTTCTACGTACATGTTCCACAGGGCCTCCTCCAAGCCAGCAACACCTTTTACCGCCACTGTTAGGTCTAAGAAATCTTCCTATGCATGAGTACAACAAAAAAAAAAAAAAATAAGGTAGTTAAGTGATGTAAGTTCATGGTACATTAGAAGGATACTCATCCCATTCACCACAGCAGATGTGAGCACCCATTTTGCTTTCATTGTTGATTGGGGGGGAAAAAAAACCCATATAACCACATAAGAGAAATTAATTTAAACAAATAAACAAGGAATGATTTTTAAATTACAAAGAGCAGTAAAAGAATGTAAAGATATGCTTTGCTATTGTTACCCCACTGTCCAACTCTCTCCTAACTACAACTACTAAAGACAACACTTGCTGACTCAGAAAATGCAGTAACACTTGTTTTTTCAATTCTGAGTCACAGCTTGATGTAGGTGGTTTAGAAAATGCCAGCCAAGACTTAAGAACAAAGTCACACATAATTCTCACGTTTTTTTCTGGTCTGCAGCACCCTAACTAATACATACTACCTAGATTCAAAAAGGCCACCAGTGATACTCAAGAAGACATCATTATTTTTGGAGTTTAAAAGAAAGAACATTTAAAATATGTTCAACAGACTGAACACAAACCTATCCTGGAAAATGCTCTGGCTTTACCTGTCTCTCACTGATATTCTTGCATTCTTTACAAACAACCTGGTTGACAACAGTCCCGTGGTACAATCGGTTAATAAGGTCATGACCCGAAGTCCCCACAAGGGAAGTTTCCAAAGCACTGAACAGAATCCGATTTAATTCCTGCACATCATGCTGCCTCATTTCCTGCATGATAAAGAAAAAACAAACTTGAAGAAATAATATAGTGCCATCTGCTTTGCTTATTGCTTAAAAACAACATATATTAAGTGTGACAAAGACAGCTGCCTCAATGACTACCCATTATATTTTCTACCTTGAGTAGTAAATTACTGCTTTTATTATTATTTGTTATTCTTAATTTAGTTCTTAATAATTAATTAATTTAATTAATCTAAAAAATTAATATTCTTAATTATGCTCTCCAAGTAGCTACAAGTACATAAACTATAACCCACGTAAGACACATTTAGACTAAACTCTGTGACAAGTTAGAGAGTTCAATTTACGTAAGAATCTAAGTATTTGAAGGACAAGAACCCTAACTACTGTTGGAAAAGTGTTCCTGTAAAAACAAAGGAAAAGCTACTGAAATTGTATCTAACAGAACAATTTTCTTCTGTTGCTGTAAACAATTGGCATGCACTTCATGCAGAGATTCAGTAGTATACAACAGCAGTTGACCCAACTCAGTGCTATCTCCACAGCTTGAAGTATTTTAAGATATTTCTTAAATGTCAGACTTCAAAAAAAAAAATCTTCTCCATTCAGGAAAAAGTTTATCAATGATGGTGTCACTGATGGTGACTTGTACCTCATTGCTGTTCCACCCGAAGCTGTCGGTAAGGTCTGTTGTAGATGCAGCTTGCTGGTCCAAGAGCAGAAGCTGAGCAAATAACCGTTGAAGTTGTAATGGAATTATTCGAACCTAGAAATAAAAACCAAAATATACTCAACAGATCAGAAAGAGACTTCAAACCAATCATTTAAATAAAAAGAAAAATAAGTCAGTACAAAACTTGTTATAAACCACCATTGCCTATGGTTTTCATAACACAGGCTACTTAATTCACATCAAAACACCAGTCAGACCTGATTCCCAAAAATCTACAGCGCCTTGCCTTACTCAGCCAAATATAGTCATGGAATATACATTTTCTGATAAAGCCAAACTATATAGATTAAAATTAAGCCATCACCATAGTAAAAAAGGACAACTTTCTCTGACATTTTTCAAAATGCTAAACCCTAAGAAAGCAGCTACAGGATCTTGACATACAGATTTAACATGTGCTACTCCTTGCTCAGTAAAGGATTTGGTGGTGGGGTGGAACGAGATGGGAACAAGAATGGTTAGTGTCAACAAGCTTGATCAGCTACCTCTATTTATCTTTCACTTACAAAGAAGAAAATTTTCCAAGCAATGAGTTGTATCACTTCAACCTGAGAACTAAAGAATTAAATTCTGTGGTCAGCTTTAGTACGCGCTTTTTAAATAAAGATTGAATTCCAGTCTCATTGTGCATGGGTGCGATGTTAAACCTTCAGAGAGCCTCAGTGCAATCACCTAGGTTGCACATATATTTAGATTATTTTTTTTCTGGTGACAAATTAGTCACTGTAGCTTCAGTTACAGAAGAGAAAAGTCTAAAAAGGTCTGTACAGACTTTGAGATTGTTCCTGTTCCCCTTGAAGACAAAAGGATCTCCACTTTCAGATTCAGCAGAAAAAGGCTCAATATCTTACTTTTGAAGAAAAAACTTATGGGACTGACATACATCTGCATGCAAAATCGAGTATCAGCAAAGCAACTTCAAAGTTAACCTTTCATTCATTCTCATGCAAGGATTCATGCACATGAAACAATATTCTTCCAAATTGTCACTCAGCAGTGATTAATGACAAGAAAATTTTAAATACCTTTGCATCTGGTTTACTGCTGTCATCCAGAATCCCAAGTTCTTCAGGTCCTAGAGAGAACAGCGCCTCTGTAATTGTAAAGAAAAGTGCCTATTAAAAAAAAAAAGTCTCCTCTTTAAAGATTTATTTATTGCATTTTAACTATCAAGCATTATGATGTTATTCTTTTTGGCAAATTAAGACGTTAAACATCAGTCATCCTTGCCACTGGTTCAATCTGTAACAATAAAGCGTAAGAACGCATGACAGTGTTTAGATGGCAAAATATCTATTTTTTCATGAATTATAGTAGTTGCATTAAAAAAATAAACACCACTTTATAGACAACAATAACTTGCCTTTCTTACACAAAATGTAACTGTCCACCTGTAAGAAAAGGTAATGTTTACAATACTTGCATTTTGTGCAGAAGTGACAATACTAATTTTACAGACCATGAGCTCTGATTATTCTGTAATAACTTATTGGAAGTGAACTGAAGTAAACTATTCCAAAACCAATCTGTGTTTGTGGTGTTTCTTTAATAAAAAACTAGAAATGCAAGTCACTGTAAAATATCAATTCCAATGTTACTTTCAGAAGATTTTGAAGATCTTACCTCTAAATTCAGGTGTGAAAAGCAGAGTCTGCAGAAGGGAATTGAGGTAGCAGGTCCCACCCTGATTTTTGATACCACTTAGGTTGGTGAAATCCCTGGGAGCTGGAGGCTCAGAATCTCTGGGCTTTGATTTCTTCCCTTTTCCACAATGATTGTTTGAAATAAAGGAAAAGTCCTCTTCAAACAAGTCCCCAAACATCGTGAAGGCAAAACAATCCTTTAAAAACACAGAATTATCTATTTACTATAAAAAATGCAATTGAATCCACCCACCTCTGATCCTCCAAGATGAAACTTTCAGCCCTGACTGAAGAATTTCTTTATACCTTTTTTCATCTTGTGCTGTTCATTCTAAAACTGAATGACAGATCTATACAAAAGTGTGCACTAATTTAACAAAAAAAAAGAAAAGGGGTGAATTAAAAGCATTTCTGTTAGCAGAGGTCTGAATAGACTGTTAAGCAGAATCAAATATATCATATTTCAATTTCACATCAGCAAAAACACACATCGCAAAATAAATAGGTCCTTCTAAACACCTATAATTAACTAGTGCTCAAGTTACCCAGTTTCCTGCAGGAAAGGTGCACAAGGCCTCTCAAACTCATCAAAATCCTTGCACCGTGTCTCAACAAACCCATGAGCACAATTAACCTGTCTCTTGTATTGGCCAGTTCAGATGGGACGAGTGTAATAAATAGTCAAAACCACAGTGATATTTTATGAGAATATTAACTTTGCTTCCAGATGTACGAGCCAGAAACTCAATGACAACTAATTCTTCTTATGGGAATTTTTTCAGTCCTTTTTTGAAGCCTTGCGACCTCTTAGCATGTATCAGCATTCCCAAAGTTAGCTCCCTTTTGTTTTATATTTGCCACCCCATAATTTCTTTTGATACAATGTAGCTCTTCTAACAGGAGTGACCAATCAACGAGTTATACTGATGCAGTGAATAATCACTCCCCTATCTACCTTCATTCTACTTGTGAGTTTACAGATCTTTATCATATTCCACTCAAACATCTCTTCCAGACAAAAGCCTCCGCAAAGACATATTCACTCCTACAACTGAACTTGTTCCTTCTCTTTGATTATCCTTATCTACCTTCTCTGAACCCCTTAAACTTCTCCTTTCCCTGTTTCTGAGATGAGAGGACCACATCTGCCTACAACATTCAAGATGTGTGCAAACCACAGCTATATATATGCATATTATTTATATTTTTATAAATAATAATGCTCTGGTTTGTTCTCTTTCTGTATAACTGCTGAGCGCTAAACTGCTTTAAGCAATATTTATTATTACCCCTAGGTCTCAATCCTATATGTTCACTTCAAATCCTACCACTATATACGCACTTTACATAAATCTGTGTATATACACATAACTGTAAGGTCGTGATTGTCTCTGCCCCATGCTGAATCTCTTTGCACTCACCTACAGTTAATATTACCTGCTATTGTATCACTCAGCCACCCATGAGCATAAAGACTTTAAAGCTCCATTGAAGGCACTTGTCTTTGCTGCAATTATTACTTGATTTCACAAGAAAAATTAATCGCCTCAGCATTCACTGTTTTTTTTTTCCTGATAGTTTATGATATGCTGAACATATGCCCTAGCAAAGATTCAAAGAAACTCCCCCTCACTCCCCTCTGTGACAGTTGATCTTCTGTTTTCTTTTTTTTTAGCTAATTATTTAATCAAGCAACAACTTTCTTCTTCTGTGACAGCTTAAATTCTTTAAGAGCCTTCAGCGGCACACCTTATTGAACGCCTTTTGAAAATCCAAACATAGTTGATAGCCCCCCCATTCAACCAGCCAGTAGTTCTTCAGGCATCATCCTAAACTGCTCCACTGTGGGAAAGACTAAAATGGGCTTAATGTACTGCTGGTTTATACAAAGAGTAGCTTTTAGGCAAAAGGCCATGCAGCATGGCAGCGTTCACTCTGCTTCTTCTATAGTGCCTCTTCAGCGCTTCAGACAATACATATCCCATTTCCAAACTGTCTCGCAGCCTTCATTCATTTTTCTGGTTAGGCCTGCTGCACTTTAGCATTTAACCATCCAGTGATTATGACCCTTCCTATTTTCCTCATCTGAATACACAACAGCTTGCTCCTAATGGGTTCATCGTCTATAAAAAGGCACATATCTAGGAGACAGTGTTCATCTTACTGACAGTCTGCTGTACCACCCACCACTCCAGAGAAGCACTTCAGCTGGACAGTGCCAAATCCTCCCTCGCTCCTTATTTCAGGATCCTCCACGCGCTGCTGCAAGCAGCTTCCTTCCCCTAAAAATCATACAGTAATATAGATTAGAACGAATCTCTGGATGATGTCTGTGGTCCAACACCCTCACAAAGCAGAGGCCAAATTCAAGCACATGGCTTATTAGGGTGTTGCCCTGCCAAAGTTGGAATAACTCCACAAAGGGAGATCCCCAAACCCCTCTAAGCCCCTGCCCTTATATCTGATGGAAACCTTCCATGTTGTAACTCATGTCTGACACCTCTCATCCTACCTCAGTGTACCCCCTACAAGAATCAGGCTGCACCTGTGCCCTCCCGACAGCAGTATGGTCTCCACCTCGCCTTCCCTTCTTCAGGCTGAACTCACCCGGCTCCCCCTGCCTCTCTCCACCTTCCATATGCTCCAGTCCCGGAGCCCCACGGGGCTGGGGCTGGGCCTGCTCTTCAGACGCGGTCTCACCGGTACCGAAGGCC